AAACTTAAATTGCAGCTTCATCACTATAGAACAGAAGAATTTATAGCCTATTTCGCTAGCATGCTAAAGAGGGGTGCCAGCCAATTCACAATCTTTAATTTGAAATGTGGCTGTTACACCTCAAGGCTCCTGACAGAAGGTGGAAGAGGTCAGACTCATTTCAGAAGTGCCACTTCCAATCAAAAACAGATTTTGGGATAGATTCTGGGCTGACAAGTGTCACAGATGAGGAACTCGAGAGGGGTTTGAAGCCCGTGTAAGAAAGCCAAGAAGAAGTAAGCCTGTTTCTTCTTTTTTTCTTTTTTTGAAAAAAGGAAAAGACATGAAATAGTGCTAATATGTAATATAGTAAATGAAGGACTGCATAACACGAAGCAAGCAAATCACAATTAATGGCAACTCCCTGTCTCTTTTCCTGAATTTGGACTGTATGCCTTATTTTCCTTAATTGCTTTTGCCATCATCCTTGCCTCTTGTGCAGCTGAAAGAATAAACCTATTGGCAGTAGTGAGAATACTGCTGGAAGGGACAACATTTTCAGAAGTGGAGAAATTTGGTTCCATCCGGAAAGCGACACCATAGAAAGCAGAGAGGCTGATGGCTAGAGCAGCTGAGGTGAAGCTGCGTAACCTGATGTGATGTTAACTCAGCAGCAGCTGAACACAGGTAAGCAGCAGAAAGGGAATACACAGAACAGCTGTGAAGGAAGAAAACAGTCCTTGGTATTTGAGACACAAATAAAGAGAGATGAGTCTCACTTCTCTCTTTTCTGAAGCCTTTAATGAAGTTTTGCTTTCTGTTTCTCCATATATAACACCAATGATAATGCATACCTCTGTTACTGCAACTCTTTAGAAGTTTATTTTATTTTATTTTTTTTTTTAATCTGGGCAGTAGACTCAGGTGGCAAAGTATATGCCTCCGGAGTCTGTCTGAACTCTGGTAAACAGTTCAATAGCGGAAGGATTGTGGATTCTTTTACTGAAAATACTGTGTATTTTGAAATAAGGGGAACATTTGTTTCCTGTGATCCTAAGGGAACTTCTTAAGTAAGTTCATTTGTAAGGCATTGTTAAGACTTGACTATCAACCAACCATACACCTCGTATTTGATTTCAAGTTGCAAGTTCATTTGATATGAAATGTTGTAGTCAGTATAAACAATTGATGTCATTAATGAATAATATTTTCTAATTCGTTCTGAAAAAACCCTTAAAAGAAAGGCAAGTTTTATGTTATTGCTCAGATCTGTTTTGTCATTAAGAAACTTCTGCGCAATTGTAAGTGAAATATATCCTGGAAAAATTGGGATAACTGTTTCTTAAATCATAAAACAGATAAATTAATGTTTACTTTCTTTACAGAGAAAACCAATGAGAAAGCAATTTTAACATCACAGAAGGTTTCTCCTGTTTTCCAGTTTCAGAAACAAAGCTTCCCAATTGTGCATAGGATTCATTTTCCTAAATATAGACAACTATTATTTTTTCCACATTGATTGTTTAAAATGTTAAACTTAGCTTTATTGTGCAATTCCAGTAGTTTTGATAGCCAGTAGGAATTTCCAAATTGTTTGAATACTGTTCTTTAAAAATTAAGAAAGACCCCACAAACCTCTACGTTTTCTTCCCTTCAGAAAGAGTGCAAGAAAATACATGCTTGAGAAAGTACGTGAAAGAACTCTTACTGACTGAAGTCTACCACAACAGGAAAGTCTCACAACTGAGTTTATTAAAATTTCAGCATTTAATCACCCTGTTTTTATGTTTGTGAAAAACTTCCAGGCAGGTAACTAAATATGCATTGTCCAGCATGAACAATTCATTAAAAATAGCCTGAAGCTCAACCCAATGTCTTTATGGAGCATCTGGGTAACTGCCCACTTTTATATGGCAGTTCAAGTATACGCGTATACAAGTATATTGTCTTCCATTTCTTCTTTGAGATTTCCTTCCACAGGTAACTTCTTGGCCATGCATAGTGTTTTAAGTGTTTCAGATAAATTATTGCATCCTCATAAGATTCCATATGTCTATCTTGATAACGTATGTCTACCTTAACATATATGTTAGTCACCAGAGCGATCTTGGGAACTACAGTATGAGGTATTTAAGAGGCTAAAAGCTTCCTTGCTGATGCACTCGAAGGAATGAGCTGTCTAAAAATAGTATCACAAGGATAGCGCATGTTCTGTTCTGAGGGACGGAACAAGCAGCTGGTAACAGCTTAGGCATTGCAGTTGAAAAGAGATTATGAAAGCCATTACCTGGAAAAATTTACCAATCTTGCAGAAAAATGATGAGATTAATGTAAAAGAATATGCATGCATGTGTAAAACACAGGGCATCAGTGAGCCCATAGGAAGACAGTGTACTGTGAAAGGACACGTGGAAACATTATCCTGGAATGTGCAGGAGGTGTAGATAAGCTTAATTCAGAGAGGGGGAATTGTGACTACGCTGAGAAACACAGGACGGTTCACCTGTCAAAGACTATTTTCTGGCATAAAACACAAGAATACCTATTTCTTTATGCATACACAAAAATAGTAAACAGGGTATTCCTGACTGCAACACAGTCTAGAGGGAGAGAAAGGTCAGGTGCTTCCAGGTGCACCTGGCTTCCAGTGGAAATGAACGTACTGGGGATCCGAGAAAAGGCAGGATTGTCATAGAGCCAATGAAGCAGAAAGAACTTTTTTTGTGTAATGGGACTAGGTGGTTTTCTAGAAAGGAAAACTACTGAGTAACTGTGTGCTTAGTTTTGCAAAATAAATTTACAAAACCCCTTGCCTTTACAACAGAGTTTGAGTTATATAAAGATGCAGTTACATAAAGAACATTCTCCCCCCCCCCCCCCAATTTATTAAACTTTACTAAAGCAACTTGGGAGAGCTTTAATGTAATTTCCCTCTGGTTCTACCTGCTGTGGTGATCTTGATGACAGAATTCAGTCTGTTGTTAGTAGCATTCTATTTAACCTGATAAATATTTTAAAATGTGTTTGGCATGGTCAACAACAGTCAAAGATCACAGGGTAAGAATAACGAGCTCTGCATAAGGCACAAATGCTGCTGT